TAAGAAACTTTTAATTTTTTAAGGGGGAGAGAAAGTGTACATCTTCGTGATTTGGGAGGATTTGGCTCGATTTTTGGGTAATTTTTGCCACGAGATGTAAGAAGACGTAACATGTAAAATGGGAATGAGATTTTTGCTAGGAAAAATATTAATTTGATGTTTTGTGTTTTAAATTTCCAGTAATTTAATGTCGCTTATGTTGGCCGTGTCATTTAATTGTGAAGCACGTGTTAACTTGCAAATTAAAATTTATATTAAATTATACTAAATTTCAATTTCAATTTCAATTTCAAACATAATTAAAATTGAAGTTAAAGTTGACAACAAAAATAAAAATTTATATTAAATTAATTTAAATTTAAACTACCTAAATTAAGTAAAAATAAATCCTTAAAAATATACTGCTAAACTATTTTTCCAAATATTTTCCAAATTTTCCTAATTCTGGCGTTGTTAACAGAAATTTAAAAATTTTATAAAGCGATACATAGTAGTTTTAGATTTTTTCCTCGTCGAATGGCATATCCAAACCCTTCCAAAATATTTAAACGTAGAGAAACCGATCCTCCATCCACTTCATTATTCATTTCTCTCTTTCTCCCTTATTTCCTTGCATGCTTGTTGATTTGGATTTTCTTTTGATTAAAAGGAGAAAGAAACAGCATCTGAAAAAACTCTTTCATCCATCCATGCAGACACGAAAAGGAAGAAGTCAACTAAGGAAACTAACAATGCGATGACGCCAGCGGTCTCGCTCCGATTTTGACGAAATAACGATAATTATGTAACCTTACACAAATAATTGAACACGTGTTTCGGGATTTTTCATAATGCTCAGCTTAAACGAAATTATGACGTGATCCGTGAGCGAGAATTTCCATTTCTACCATTTTTCTCGTGAGGGAGAAAAATCCAGATTCACGCTTAGCGATTCCATCATAATTTCGTTTAAACTTAAAATGCGTGGGCATGAAGTGGTTTTCTCCCGATTTCAAATTGCTCGCACAAATTTTGAAAATTTTGAAAATTTTGAAAATGCAACAAACTAGAAATTTCGAAAAATCAAAATTTTTGAAAACCAAATTTTTCTTAAGTTACTCAATCGAATTTTCTTAAGTCACTCAATATCCGCTACAACCGAAATCACGCATCTTCATGAAAAAGTAAAAATACGGGTAGAGTTATTTCGGTTGTGGCGGAAATTGAGTAGAATAAATTTTGGAATAAATTTTAACCCAAATTAAGGATTTATCGAAATGCGGTAAATTTTCAAATTTTTATCCGGTTTCAAAAATGCATAAAGATTTTTGCACAGAATTACATTGAGTAACTTAAAAAAAATCTGGTCTTCAAAAATTTTAATTTTTCGAAATTTCTAGTTTGTTGCATTTTCAAAATTTTCAAAATTTGTGCGAGCAATTTGAAATCGGGAGAAAACCACTTCATGCCCACGCATTTTAAGTTTAAACGAAATTATGATGGAATCGCTAAGCGTCAATCTGGATTTTTCTCCCTCACGAGAAAAATGGTAGAAATGGAAATTCTCGCTCACGGATCACGTCATAATTTCGTTTAAGCTGAGCATTATGAAAAATCCCGAAACACGTGTTCAATTATTTGTGTAAGGTTACACAATTATCCTTGTTTCGTCAAAATCGGAGCGAGACCGCTGGCGTCATCGCATTGTAAGTCAAAGTGAGTAAAAAGTCAAAGGAACAGAGACGACAAAAAAGAAGGGGAAATGTAAAACATGGTGAAAGTAAGGGTATCGTATGCACGAAATCAAACCGAATCAAACTAGGGTTCGATTCGGTACAAAATTTTCATAGAAAATTTATGGACTGGTAGAATTTGGAAATTTCATTCAGAAATAAAAAAAAATGAGTTGAAAATTTCGAAAGACGAATTACTTGAAGTTGGTGGTTACCATCTTTTCTGAATTTTTGAACTTTTAGAAAGTTTAGATCAGGGTGAGATTCGTAAAAAATTCCCTAGAAAATCTGGGCTGACTGACAGAATTTGGAAATTCTATTTAGAAATAAAAAAATGAGTTGAAAATTGAAGTAATTCCATAAATAACTTAATCATGGTTGCCATCTTTTCTGAATTTTAAAACTTTTAGAAATTTTGGATCAATCATTTCAAAATCTAACCATTCAATTCACGCTGTAGTATTGAAAATTGTAAACTTTCTCTAAAGTTTGTTAAACTTCAAATGTTCCAAATTTTCGAGGATTGACGTGACTTTGATTTTCACTGAAGTGGTTAAAACCCTTTAATTCATCATATCTCATGTGCCGAAACACTGTCACGAAAAGGCTAAACATTCCGTATTTCTGTTCACGCATTTTAAAACAAGTCGCCTGCCTGGCTGCCAAGAGATATAAATGACATGACATGATGACGATAAGTGAAGTCTGACGATGAGTGTCGTGTTACTCACATTACTGCATCTCGATGACACACTCTAAACAATTCCGTGATAAAATGTGCTCTTGGAAATTTTTTTACCGTTTGGTAATTTACATATTTAAATTTCACTCCACGTTTAACTACCATTTAATGCTCGTTAATTATTCAATTTAAATATCTTACCATTTAGTATTAAACTGTCTCACTAATTTTGTAACAGTAGAATGCCAACGCGTCTACCAAAATTGTCACTTGGGTTCAATTTGTTACTAAATGATAGCAAATTTGAATATTTCGGTATTCCTATTTTATATGAAATCATAACCGCATGGATCTTATCCTATTACCATAACCGGGAGTAAATTGGTACCACATTAGTTATTAGAGTTCAATATCAGTAACAATATACAGTTCATACCGCTAATGTTCATTTATTATCATTTCCTAACTAATTATCACTCTGCGGATAACAAACCCCTTCCCAAATCAATCGACTGTTACAGTCATTTGCCGATAACAAGTTTTCACGATTTAAAGTTTTTATTATTTATACATAACCAGGTAGTTTTTCATGTCTTTGTAGAGGGACACACCAATTTATAAAAGCTTCGAAAAACAGATCGCCCAATTAAAATTAAGCCCAGCACAAGATACTGAAAATCATTTTAAAAAATCCTATAAAATAGGCAAAATTTCCATAATGATGCCAAACTTTTAAGAGTGCCCTAACTAGAAAGTGGCAAAACTCTGACATGTTTTTGTATCTGACTCTGTTTATGCATGATAAATCACATACTTTCACCGTCTCCTTTCTCTCTCTTCTCATTTCGGCTGGTTCTTGTTCCAGCACGGCTAATGGAAATGGATGGAGTGGGAAAGACGAGAATATTGCAGGCGTCTCAACTTACCATTTACATCATCATTTGGATAACTTCAACAATGAAACCTAATGCTTTCCCCCATCAGAAATGCGTGATGAGTGAAAGTATAACTTACACGATGGGGATTGGAAAAAATTGGTGAAATATTTTGTTTTATTTTTTTACCCCTGAATTGTTTAGTAAAATATGTTGTCAAGATAAGTATAGTACTGAACCTTGCATTTTTTTGCCAATTGTAAACATAGGATGGATAAATAATTCTTGAATTTTTATCTTTAAGATGTTTTTAGAGTCATTTTTAAATTAACTGAAGCATGCTAAAAAATTAGGTTTTATTTTTGTATATTATTCTTATATTTCAAAGAAGGTGTCAACTCTTACAATGTGAACTATATTTCGAAAATATATTCATTGCTAATAAATGTAACTAATCTTAAAAGATACTTCTTTATTAACAATTGTGAATTTTTGAAAATTTTGTTTTTTTCTTACTAACGTTTTCAATACGTAAATCCTTCAAAAAGAATTGTGAGTAGATTTAAGAATATACCTAGTAGAACTTGTAAATTTAAACAAGAAACAAATCCGTTAAGCAATTAAATTTGTGAAGCATTTTGCAAAATTCAAAGTTTTATTTTTATTTTTTGGATAGGTTCGACGTATTAAAAAAAATATTACGATTTATTTTAATAGCATTAGAAATCAGTTAGGTTTGCACTGTACATTTGTGTTTATGTCCGCTGCTGAATAAAATTACATTTAACATAAGTTGCAAACCAAATTGTTACCGTCTCATATTTTGTTTTTGTATTAGCAATTTTTAACTTCAGGGCTTCTAAATTGAAGGTTGCGTTCGGTAGTAAATCGTTACAAAAATGGTGGAGCATAACGTAAAAAATCAAAATTTGTTGACCATTTTCTTATTTTTTTGTATATGTACGATTTGTAAGAAATACAAAATTATTAACTTTTTTCATCTTGCAATTTTTGAAAATTTCACTGGAACACAAAGAGCAATTTTGTTGACTGATAATTCCTCAAGATCCTTCCCATTTGTGTTTGCCTGTCGTTCTTGTTGGCTGTGTAAATACGGATATAGATTTGGGAGAAGAAGGAGGAAAATGATTTCGGATATTTAATAAGTTTTTGATTTTATGATGTAGTGATGAACTGCGTGGCCTCGAGGAGTAGGGAAGTTCGCGATAGATTTATGACATGGTGAATCCATCTTGTTTTAGTCAGTGGAGGATGTAGAGAAATTGTAGAGGGCCAAACTCCTGAAAATTATTTTTGTATCTACAAATATGGAGGGATGGATTTTATCAGTATCAATATAAAAATGTGCAGTTTATGTATATTCGTGAATTAAAAATGTGACATGTAGGAAAATTATACCGATTTTTTACTAATTTGATACCACTATACAAAATCTGATTTGTTTAAAAGAAATTTATACCTTCATGTGTTTACACAGCCGCATTAAATTTGATATTTCATAAAATTATATATACAAATTAAGCACTTAGATTTCTTACATAATTAATATAAATTAATTCTTAATACATACTGTAAAAACGGGTGAAGTTTGCAGCTCTGACGTCATTTCGCTCCTCCTAGCAGGGAGGTATTGAGCAGTGTAGTGCTGGAGCCACCACCACCGCTCATGAAATAAATAAAATAACTCACTTCTGGAAATCCCAATTGGCGTTCAAATTTTACATATTCTTTATTTATTATGATATATTATTCATTGTCGTCAGAATCAGAAGAGCTAGAATCGGAAGAATCATTTCCTGCAGTAATTATAATTTGAGCCATCTTCGGGTTAGAAATAAATTCATCAACAAGCTTATCCCTATCCCACATACGATCCTCATATTTAATCGCATGCTTTACACAACGGCTCCATAATTCAGGTGTTACTTTTAAAATAGCTAATTTTGCCAACTCTAATATTCCCTCAGCATTATTGCCTTTATTATTAGTAGCAATGTCATTTTTTATGAATGACCAAACTAATTCTATGGGATTGAACTCACAATGAGCTGGAGGTAACCACAAAATTCTTATATTTTTCCCGGAGGCTTCGGCAATTTCTTCTACAATGAATTTCTTCGGCTTCGGATATTTTTTTGACAGCGCTATTAAAGTTTGTTTCGTCATAGTGCAGAAGTTAGAAACATTCTCTGGCAATGGAATAGCGTTTCTTTCAAACCAAGCTAGTATGTCTGCCTTTAACCACGCCATGGTTGGCATAATTGAGTCTTTTACCTATAATAATTGTTAAATAATGTAAGATAAATGCACGAATTTTAATATTTAGCAATTATTACATTGCAACTTACCCTTTTTTTGTGGTAAGGGGCCTGGTCCAGCACTAACACCGATTTGTCTGGCACCAATCCGACAATTTTGGCAAACCATTCCAAGTACCGATCACTATTCATGTTTCCGTGATAGTCCTTTGTGTCTTTTTTTGAGATGAAAACGTCGTCCCCACCGGCCAAAAATCCTAATTCGTTGCCAATGTGGTTAATTATAATGCGTCCGTTTGCCGACTTCAATAAAAATCCCCCTGTTTCCGTAAAGAGAAATTCATTTTAATTTGCAAATAGATATTTACTAATAATTTTCTTATCAGCAATATTTTAAGTTTGACCTACCAGCATAACCGTTCATATCCCGCAAACAGTCGCCACCCCAAAACCCCGTCATGTCTTTATACTCTTCATCAGATAATAAAATCTGCCAGCAACGACTCCTCGCTTGATCAGGTGACGCCCAGGTTTCATCAGAGTAGAATACTGAGTATCCTTCTTGGCGAAACTTGCGAATACTTCTTAGGTAGAATTCTCGTTGGGCGACGATGTCGTAGCGTTCCAAGAACACAGGTTTTTTATTGATTTTTCGGTACTTAAATTTGCATTCATTTATCATCCACTCCCTAAACAACGTTAGTTTGATTCTTGGAAATTCGGGATTATCTAAGCAACGATCAAGTAACTTTCTGGCCGTAGGATATTCTTTATTTTTATAAAATTCCTGATTTAATCGTCTTATCATAGAGATAAAAAATTCTTCGCAAACTATTTTTTTTGAGCTGAGTTTTTTTACTGATTCAGTATTTAATTTGGCATCGTTGATTTTAATTCCATATACTGATCTTTCTGATATACCTAGCAATTTAGAGATTTTCTTATTAACATTGTTTATTCCTAGCTCTTTAAAAACTGTTTGACATTCGCTTGATGTTGAGAACTGTCCGATTTGATTATCCTCAGAGTTGTGGTCACCGTGTAGCTCGTCTTGAGAATTAAAACTGTTTTCCCCACAACTTAAATTTAGTATTTTATTTTTTGATTGAATGAATTCTTCTAACTTATTCTTCACTTTGTTGATAAATATTCCAATTTCCGATATTGCATGCTTAACGTTCAATTTATCAGTCGAAATGTGTCTTTTTTTTTAAGGGGGTTGATTCTCGTCTGACATGATATCAGTTATCAAATGATCAAGTAAAAATTAAATAATAATTGTCAAAATAAACTAGTATTTGAATTACTAAAAATGAGCTATCAGCGTGTGCGTAATGGTGATAAATAAACATTTACCATCTGATTCGAATAATAAATAAAGAATATGTAAAATTTGAACGCCAATTGGGATTTCCAGAAGTGAGTTATTTTATTTATTTCATGAGCGGTGGTGGTGGCTCCAGCACTACACTGCTCAATACCTCCCTGCTAGGAGGAGCGAAATGACGTCAGAGCTGCAAACTTCACCCGTTTTTACAGTAATTAAAATTTTGTAGGCGCACGTCACCAATTAAAAAATTGAAGATGACAAATTTTATATTAGTTTTATAAGCTTGATGCCGGTAGCATATTTCGTGGAATGAATTGATTTAGCTAAAATTATTAGGTTGTCATTTAGTCGTTCTAATCGTGCATAGACAGACATTTACAAAATATTGACCTCCTACAACGTCTACATAATTATGAAAAATATGTTCAAAATCATCAAAAAAATTATTCTAAAAATTTGTTCTCAATCAAAAAAACATATTTCAAATTTTTCACATGATTTTAAAAAGATCGCCCCCTAAACTCTACCCGACCCATATGTTCCGGCCCTGATCTCGTTTTGTCCATATTAGTTTCCCGAGTACATAGAGCAGCTCGAGAGTATCGCCTCAAGACGTAAATAACGGGAGAAAGTTCTCATTCGTCTTCTTCACGTCGTCGTCAGCAACTTAGTTTAGCTTTCTTGTCGGATGGCTTTCACTTCATAAAATTTATGGCTGTATTATTTATTACTTGTTTGCTCCCCGGTAAGCAAAGACAGGTTAAATGCTCACTTATCCTCTTTGATAACTTTCACCTTCAGCTTGTATCGAGATGGATTTATTGCGAACAAATTGATATTTTGTTCAAGACAGGATTTCCGACTTTCTCCACTTGGCTTTTCGGAATAGTATTTTATTTCGAGATGAAATTTGCACTCTTAAAAACATGGTGGTAAAATTGTTTACCAAAATTTATTAAGCTGCAGCCATCTCGATTGTCTTAGTGTCTTAATATTTAATTAATTACGGGAATAGATGTTAATTAAGTTTAGTATATTTTTAAGGCCAGGCTTAGCAGTTATGAAATGAAGTGCAAATAAATGAGTCAACTTTCTTACTAGAAATGTTTACCAAGCTGATTAGTATTTCTTGAAAAAAGAGAGAAAGAAAGGATTATGTGAAAAATTTATAAAATTTTTAACGTTTTTATTTTTACATCTCCAATCAAATCTAAAATATGTGCATTGCACTTTAATAATACCCTAATTTTTATTAACGACGTTTAAGAATGACATTTTGTTGAATAAATTTTGAAAATCATAGATCTCGTAACTTCGTAAATTTCGCTATGGCCATATACTTGTAAAAGTAACATAAAATTTGGTGATTTTCAAATTCTCGCAGAAAATTCGTCTGACTATACAGTAAAATTTTTACGGAGCTAAAAATCTCAAGTTTTTCATTTTACACAATATCACTCGGATTCCTTTCGAATTATAAATTATTACATAATTCTGTTTTTATTTTCAAATTTGCAGTTTGAAAAATTACATAATAATAAAATAACAGATCATATAATTTTAAATAAAACTACCATTTGACGAATGTCCTTGCTTTATCCATCTTGAAAAATATTATTATATGACCATTTCCGTGTAAATTAATTACGGCGTGTAACAAAATCTAATTCTGGCTGTTGGTCGTAAAACAATATCCCTGGTCGTCGTTTTTAAGAATTTTTGAGCAGTTGCTAAGAAATGGTGCATTATTTAGAGGAATAATTTACTGGAATTAGATCGCTTTCAACGTCAGTTTCTCGCCGGTAATTTTTTAGCCTGAGTCAGGGCTTATGGAACCGTCATAATTTCCGTCCGTTCATCCGTCCCAAAACACGATAGAGCCAAAACGACTGAACCGATTGACTTGAAATTTTTACCATATGCATATTGGACAAAGTTAGGAAACGAGTTTGAAGATTGGCGGAATCGGTCAAGTGGTTGACCACTGGGGGTTATCGGAGTGGTCAGAGACTAAGTCCCTGGCTCGGGCTATATGGAGTCTGCACTGTAAATTATGTAAATTCAATGAAATTATTCCTCTAAATTTTGCACCATTTCTTAGCAACTGCTCAAAAATTCTTAAAAATGACGACCAGGGATATTGTTTTACGACCAACAGCCAGAATTATTTACTGTAGTTTTGCTAAATTTATGAATAAATAAAAATATATTTACCACTTTCATACGACAATTTACAAAAGTTAAATATTTTAAGAGAAAATAAATTTGAGGATTAAACGTTAAAAATATATTTTTTTTTCAAGTTTTTTTGTTATGCATGATCCCACCCACTTAACATTTGCTTGACTGGGCGCGTATTTTTTTCACTTCATTATTAAACTACTCGTACGTGGGTTAATAACTCGGGCACATTTTTGGCTACTGGATCCATCCACCTCTCGCATTTTAATATTCATCCCGGTTTCTTTCATTTCTTTCGGGATTCTGGGAATGGAATGGCTTATTACTCGGCCAGACCACCCGGTACCAACCCAACCCAACCCACCAACTTATCTGTGCTTCGGAGATGAAATGCTGGAAATGGGAGAAACTAACAAATTTTGAGGGACGAGAGTGGGAGAAAGTGTGCAAAATTTGAGACAGATTTTAGTTTCAGTGTCACTTTTACACATTTCTTCAACTGCGTTTGTATTACAGCAAGGACTGAAAAATTTAGGTGTGAAATACTTGAAATTCGAAATGATTGTGATTTAAATCATACCTAACGGCGATGTGTGATGGCAAAAGCATTATAATTTGAAACTTAACTCGAATATTTATATAAATGTACATAAGGTTCGCAAAGGATAATGTTTAACAGAAATGCCACGTGCAAATTACAAAATTAACATTTTTTTGCGGAATATCGAAGAATAGGAGTGGGCATCTAACTTAAATATTTGTGGATACCAATTTTATTTGAAGTTTACTATTGGCATTATCCTGTCACAATTAAAATTTCATTTCATTTGTAGAAAAATGTGGGTAAGCGTGAAGAATAAATCGTCAAATAAAATTTCTAATCGTATATTTCCTACGTACGGATATACTTGTGAATTCGTACATACCTTGTGATGAACTTGTGTGTTTGTATTTAACAGTACGTGCAGTAAACTGTGTAACTTTTATAAAACTGGGAACTGTTTTACAAACATTTACAAGTGAAAAATTGTCCTTGGACGGTTTGGAATAAAATTGTACACTAATTTCCTCCCGAAATTAATGTAAACATTTGCAAATAAGTTACATTTTTTAAAAATAATTTATAAAAATTCATTAACAAATTTGTTAAGTATTTTTTCTACATTTACATGAAACAAAATGGATCACGCGGTCTTTCTCTAATTTCCCCTATACCAAATTCCTTTCACCTTTCGGAGAAAATGCTTAAAATTGTTTGAATTTATCCCAGTTTTTACCATTTCTCCCACTTTATCTCTCCCAACACATAAAAACCACTCGGTTCTCCCAAACCCTGGCATGAATACTTTATTCAATTCAATGTACCAAATTAATAAGCAGAGTCGGTGAAAGTTGGATCCTTTTAAAAGCGAGAGAGAGTAAAACTCCTCAGAAAACCAAACCACGGAGGAAGACGACCATACCATTTATTCAGCTCGGCGAACCGACCAAGTATTAATAACGCAAAACCATCGACCAGACCTTGGAAATGGAATGACCGTCTTATTAGCCTCAAAATTTCTCCGCATATTAAAATTCGTGCCGGCACGTAGCGCACTTCTTTCATCAAGTGAAAGTAGGAACGAGAACGAACGGCAAATTAAAATAAGAAACAGGGAACAAGTACAGTTCGTGCTGAAAATAAAATTTAGTCAATGGGGACAAAATTTTGTCAACTTTCTCCCAAAATAATAAAAAGATGGGTAGAAGTCCATAATTTTTTAATATTTGGAAATTTTTATTAAACGATTAGCTGATTTTTCCACTTCAAAATATTGACACTATAAATTTAATAGTGTTTATTCTTTTCGTAAAAAATATGAAAAATATAAAAATGAAATGCAAAAATAAATTGCTGGCCCATTAAATTTCGTGATATACATAGCTGTCAGTACAAATCAAAATTTTATAAAAATTACAATTTGACAAAAGTAAAACTTTACAAATTACAAATTTCACAAAAATCCATAAAAATCAAAATTCGACAAAAAGAAAACTTTACAATTAAAAATCTGATAAAAAACAAACATAAAAATTTGACAAAAGTCAAACCTTCATAAAATAAAAATAAATAAAAAACATGAAAATCAACTTTACCACAATTTCTATTCATTTCTATTTTTTATTCTATTCATTTAATTCTTTAAGTCAAAACTTCATAAAATACAAGTTTCACAAAAATTCATAAAAATCAAAATTTACCACAACTTTAGCGACATTAAATATTTTACAATAATTTTAATAATGCCATATTATTTATTATCAGATCTGTTCGGCCTACACATGCTGTTATTCATATGTGGCAGCAAACTTATTCCTCATGCAGAATTTCACAAAACCAAAAATTCAAAACTATCTATTCATTTCCCCTCTATCTATTCATTTAATTCTTTAAAAAAAATCTACCCAATTCCATTCCACTTTCATACCCAACGGACCCTGACAAACAATTTTTTCCTCTCGGTTTCCTCTCCTCTGCTTTCTTTCTCATCTTCTCCTAATCCACATCACATTAGGAACCAAAAAACGAATCCCCGAAAAACAACACATTACATTACATTACACACTGAAAACGAAATCATGCAGGCATTCATACACATACCTTTTCTCCCCAGTATCACCAATTCTGCTATTTAAATGCATAATTTTTCGGGGCGAAAAAATTGCGAAAAC